ACAAATAACAAAATAATAAATAATAACGACTAATAATCATAATTATGACACACAAAACCCCGATAGGGAGACACCCCATGAACAAGGGCCGCACCCACCTTCGCATCTATTTCGGGTTGTCCTCCTCCTCCTCCGTGAAGAGGTACGTACTCCAGTAGGCCATGTTGAAGAAGGCGAACACCAGCGGGAAGGTGATGCGGGAGATGACGTCAATGCGCTTACTCCGGGTGGGGAACTTGGACAGCCAGGAGCGACAGCAGTTCTTGCGAGGCGCCTGCAGGTGGATCTCACACGGGCGCGTCTTCTCACCGCCCATTCCGCCGTTGTGCCGGGAGACGAGGGGCTTCTGCATCCGGGCGAAGGGAGACGCAGCCGGAGAGAGAGAGAGAGAGAGAGAGAGAGAGAGAGAGAGAGAGAGAGAGAGAGAGAGAGAGAGAGAGAGAGAGAGAGAGAGAGAGAGAGAGAGAGAGAGAGAGCAGAGACAGAAAGGGAGAGGAGAAGTCAAGAGAAAGTTTCGATAGAGATGAAATGATAGATGAAAGAAGGGAGGAAGGAAAGAAAGAAGGAAAAACAAAAAAACAAAAATATTAATCATCAGGAAACCAAGTTCATTGCGAATGAAATACATAAAAATATGAGTGATGGATGGATAGAGGGATGGCTGATAAAAGTAAAAGGAGAAAGAGAAGGGAACAATAACATAGAGAGAGAGGAGGAGATTGGATAAAATAGGGAGCCAGGGATGAACACTGAAGGTACAATCAACAGAAGGTGCAATCAGTATCTTAAAAGAACACTCAGTTCTCTCTGAATCTCGATGGGAAAATGACTTCTAATAAATAGATCTATGGAGTATAAATCAAAGCTTTTAATCTATACGATAATAGGACAATAACTCAGGTACATGGAACACAGAATGAATGTTTTAAACCGTTGTGTCTAGTCCATGCTTGATGAATGATTACCTATCACTACAGAAATATCTCGTATAATCAAGGTAAGGTAAAAAGTTATGCTCATCTTTATCAGTATACACAAGTCACATCTTTATTGTTAAGTGTTAAGAAATTAGTTCTGACACTCTGTATAGTCTTGACTAATCAACTTCAATAGCGTAGTTACAGTTCAGACCCTCAAAAAAGAAGAAAAAGATAATGAGGGATTATTCTACAACAAGGCTATTAGTGTTATAGTATTTATTCGCTGTTATTTTTAGGCAAACAGCTATAAATAGTGCCTGAGGTGTCGGCCGATATGAAAGCATGTTTGGGACTTGTTAATTTCAGTCACATGACAATGATACACTTATACATACACAACAAATAACTTCATACAGTGATAGAAGAGAAAAGGAGAATAAAATGCTACATCAATATGCATCTACTATACATAAACGATCTCATTAACGCATGAAGAATATAAACTACATTGTACTTTTATATGCTATTTCATAAACCATTGTTCTAGACCTCATCTACATCACCTGAAACATCTATTGACAAGAATACTGGCACAAGTTTACCAATGTACAATAAGTGTGCTGTATATCGCATTATATCTTAGCTCACCTTTTTGGTATATCTCGAAGTTGCTAACCATTCTGAGAGTGAGGCTTAAAATACCTACCTTAAAGTAATATATTATCAATGTAACCAGACTTTGACTTTGACTTTGAATGCGCCCACTCAGTGCTTGGTTAATTAAAAGATAACTCCAACTTCCCCATATGATTTGATGGATTAAATTACAGTCTGAAGGAGCCTTTGTCTTTTTATTGACATCCTATATCCATCTTTTCAGATATGATTTCTTCAAATGATAAATTCCCCTTTGTAGAAATACTTTCATTAAATTCATGGCACTAACTATATACACACACACAAGATTATCCGAGTACTTCCTTAATGAATTAGTGATTTTGATTTAAGAAGACCTTGTGTCATGCATTTTATCTTTGTGAAAGTCAGATTATCACAAATGATTAAACAAATCTTAACTATCTCAAGACATTCACGTAAAACTCTACGGGGCTTGTGCGCCACATTTAAGTAACTGTAGAAGACTGCGAGACCAGTGATAGGCTACACATTTATCGAACTTGGGTATTTAAGTCAGATAGAAAGTAAATAAAGGGTGCGTGGTGTATTGTTAAGTGGGTTAGGAGACGGGTGCAGTGGCAGAGGTAGGCTGAGTGTGACTATGCTAATTTTCCAGGTGTATTCTAGAGACTGGCATACTAAACGTAGACTAATATGAAGGGGTTAATCAACGCAATTGCACCAGTGGTTATGTACTAAGTGTGACCACAGAGAAGCCACCAAAATAATGGATGTGTGAGAAAACAAAAGATGTGGGTAATATGAATTTCAGTTTGTGAGTATAAAATAAAAATTACAATATACTAACACTGCATACAGCTGTGTATCTAAGAATTAAACAAAGCTTGTGCAATATCTTTTTGTGTCTATTCCATACATCTTCTAAACACTACAAATCGTAA